CTGCGCGCTCCACCTGCGGGGGAGGGAGGGCGGCTCCAGGCTGCACCCCCTCCGTCTGCTCCAGTTCTGGTCCCCTCTCCGGGCCGCTCTGTACCTCTCTCGGCCTCAGGGTGTCTCGGCACCTGCGGCCTCCGGGGCCGGTGCAGTTCCCAGAAGTCCGGCTGGGTTTGGGCCGCGGGTGGGTGTCTCCGGGATGCGCTCCCTTCTGGCCTCTTCCCGGTAGGACTCCCAGCCCCTCACCCGCACCCGCGATGGGGCAGAGGACCTGTATGGGCCTAGCCTCTCGAGCGCACAGGGACACAGGAGCGCCGGGCTCACGCAGACAGGTGCTCACAAGCTGAGCAGGTGCGCAGGGAGGCACAGGTGTGCCCACAGAGGCAGGGGCACCCCCCCACTCGCGGGAAAAGCAAATACAGGAACGCAGAACGGCCCCGGCCCCGACTGCAGCTTTGGCTGGAGCCGGCGGCCGCGCTCAGTGAGGCCACCAGGGGGCAAGAGTGACCCGGAGCCACTGAGGACTGCAGCTGGGAGCTGTCCAAGGTGTTCACGGTCCCCAGGTGAACCCTTTAGCTCCCCCAGGACAACGGGCATTTTTTTTTTTTTCCTTTGAGACAGAGTTTCTGTCGCCCAGGCTGGAGTGCAGTGGTGCCATTTTGGCCCACTGCAACCTCCACCTCCCGGGTTCAAGTGATTCTCGTGCCTCTGCCTCCCGAGTAGCTGGGATTACAGGCGCGTGCCACCACGCTGGGCTAATTTTTGTATTTTTAGTAGAGATGGGGTTTCACCGTGTTGGCTCAGCTGGTCTTGAACTGCTGACCTCAGGTGATACGCCGGCCTCAGCCTCCCAAAGTGCTGGGATTACAGGCGTGAGCCACTGTGCCCAGCTGACAATGGGCATCTCTGATGTCCCCCTTGCACCTCACCTATTGCCTTCCAAGAGCACGCCCATCCCATCCCACTAGAAACCTCCCTCGACTAGTCATTCAGAGAACAAGAGTGAGACCTCCAACCCGGGATGTCCCCTTGGTCCTTCCAGTCTCAGAACTCCAAAGCTGGGGCTGGCTGCCCTCAGGTTTATCAAATGACTGAAAAAAAAAAAAGGCAGGGCGCGGTGGCTCAAGCCTGTAATCCCAGCACTTTGGGAGGCCAAGACGGGTGGATCACGAGGTCAGGAGATCGAGACCATCCTGGCTAACACGGTGAAACCCCGTCTACTAAAAAATACAAAAAAACTAGCCGGGCGAGGTGGCGGGCGCCTGTAGTCCCAGCTACTCAGGAGGCTGAGGCAGGAGAATGGCGCAAACCCAGGAGGCGGAGCTTGCAGTGAGCTGAGATCTGGCCACTGCACTCCAGCCTGGGAAAAACTCTGTCTAAAAAAAAAAAAAAAAAAAAAAAGGTGTAGGGGGGAAGGAGGAGCAGGATAAGAACCACCATCCTCCCAGGACACTGAACAGAGAGACAGCGTCTAAGCTCACTTCCCAGAAAGTTGAGGAGACGAGTGGGCAAGACCAGGCCTTCCCATCCTGGAGAAGACTGGCTTGGGGAGGGGCTGCGGGGCCTGGCCGGGGCTGCAGGATGCCTCTTGGAAGTGTAGGACAGTCAGTCCCAGGTGAGAAGGGCCCCAGGTGAGAAGGGCAAGATGCCCTGTGACAGTGCATGGCCTGGCTCCACAGCCAGGTTCTGTGCAAGATTCCTGCCTCTGGGTCCTGGTCCTGATCTCATCTCCCACCCCTGTGCCACCTCCTGATGAGGACCTGCCCTCCCTCCATTCTCTACCAGCACTGACTGCCCCCTAGGAAGCCGCCTGGCTGGCTGCCACCCGCTCTCCACCACCTCCCTGACCCCTACCCTCCAGTGAGTGGTACAGGCTCACTGTACTAGGACCCAACCTCCAGTCTGGCCTTGGTCACCAACGCAGATCTGGATGTGATGGTTTTGGGGAACTCTGCTGGCCAGAGAAGACTCAAGGTCCCAGGATTGCTCCCTCGGGCCAACCATTCCTGCAGCTACTCTAGGCTGCCACGGCACAGCAGGGGAGCAGCCAGTGCCCCAGGCCTGGCTCCAGAGCAGAAAGCAGTAGGGAGGGCTGGTGTCCACCCTCAGGACCAGGGGCAGGCCCGTGCTGCCAGAACAGCGGGAAGGTGGGGCACAGGCCACAGCAAGGATGCCCCACCCCACAGACACTCTCCTTTCATGTCTCTAGGAAAATCTTTTTATTACAAAATTTTTACAAGTAGGTGCTGGGCTGGCTGCCAGCCCATGGGCTGTGACCCTCCCCAGTGAAGACGCAGACCCCACAGACGGAGCCTCTAAGGGCTGATTCTCGGAACCAAGGCCCCACTCCCTGGAGACCCAGCCCTGAGGAGGAGGAGGAGGAGCACGGGGTCTGCAGTGACGCCCAGGCTGAAGCGGCTCAGGGAGCTGGATTGATCGCTCTTTGCCCACTGGGGCCCCTGTGGGTACCAGAGTCTCAGTTCCCATTTCCTGGGCTGCCTTAGGGGCAGAGACGCTGAGGGTGGGGTGGAGGGATGGAGAATACAGTGCTGGAGTGGAGGGATGGAGCATACAGTGGGAGGGTGGAGGAGTGAGGGATAGAGGGTGGGTGGAGGAATGCAGGATACAGGGGCGGG